GTCGCCACCATAAGGTCCGGAATTCTGTGTAAATTGTTTATGACCTTGAGGAACGCGGTACCGCAGTGGACCAATGCAGATGAATTGGAAACAGCATAATCCTGATATAAAACAGCGAAGCTTACAGTTGTTTGATGCCTCACTGTGGACGCCAATCGTCAATTCGAGGAAGCAATTTTAGTCATTTAGCTTGCGGGCGGGTAGAGCCAGCAATCGATGTATGCGGGGCTCCTCAAATGGAACCTTTTTAATACGTGATTTACTGTCTACCTTTCGGTGTTTTAGCTGTAAGCAGCCCCAAAACTCACGCACATGTTCAGCTCTTAATAGGTATATAAGCAAAATTGAATATATTGTGAGGACGTCGGTAAGCGAAGAACAGCTTGTGGAGTCGAATTTGGAGGGGACACAACACGAGGAAAAAAGAAGTGACGGCTGAATATTCTCTCGATTAAAACTTCTCAAACAAATGGCATACTGTTGTAGTACTGTTTCCTTAACACGGAACCTGCTAGGCTACGACCGTCTAACTGTTCAGTCCCGCACCAGCCAACCAACGGGATACAGAAAAGTGGCAAGACTCGGTAACAGGGAGTATATTCTACACGACAGACCGCTCGTATTTATTAGGTAACGAAACGTACTATTTTTAGGAAGCCTAGCTATGCGACTGGCTCTCAGCCAATGTCAGTGGTTTTGCTTCCACAGTTTTTCCATTTTTGGCCGAATGCACTGCCTCCTTTGGCGCTGACTTGTATTTGCTAGCCAAAACTCTCGCCTGAACTGGCTTGTATTCGTTGGCCAAAAACTCGTGCCTGCTTTCCGAACAGTTTGACTTTGTACCGTGCTCGTGCTTTCACATGTAGCAGAGATCTCACGTACTCCACAGGAAACCCACACACGTTTGCGATCTCGTATTCGGACATTGGCTGGGCCCGCCTTTCTAGCACCTCCCTCTTTCAAAGGACCGTTTCTCCTTACCTTTCGCACCTGAGCTTGGTCGTAGCTTTTTTCCCTTGGGTTCACTTGCAGCCACTGCGGCTGTCTTCGTCTTCGACTTGGCTTGCTCGGTATATCACGCGGTAATTGAGCAACCGGTTCTATCCTATTTGAGGCATCAGTTTCGTTTTCCAATCCAAATGTATCTAGCAGAATGTCCCACTGTAGTTTTGACGATGCTTGAGGTCTCTGGGTGTTTCCATGTCGTGGCCGTAGAGGGTTGACATGCCTGGTCCACTTGTCCTTTCCGACCATTATCTTATATATAACCTTACCCTTTTTTCCGATAACCGTTCCGATGGACCACCTTCCCGGAGTCTGGAAGTTTCGTGCGTACACCAGTTCACCGACCTTAAACCTCCGAAGTCTCCCTTCCTGCTCTTCGTTTGTTTGTCCGTTGTGTTTTTCATCACATCTAGGAATCAGGCTATCAAATATCGTTCTAATTTTTCGTCCGAAGAGGCATTCCGCAGGAGAATTCCCTTCTGGTGTGTTTGGATTCGGAGTGTTGCGATACATTCTCAGGAACGGTTGGATTATATCTCGTGACACCCTCGATCCTTCCGCCTTAAGAAGACCACGTTTAAATGTATCTACGAATCTTTCGGCCTGCCCATTTGATTGTGGATGGTACGGCGGTGAAAAATTGTGCCCAATTCCGTTTTGTGTTCAGAATTCTTGAAATAGCGTAGATGTGAACTGCGGTCCGTTATCCGTAACTAGTGTTTCCGGTGTGCCAAAATACTGGAACAATTTGCTCAGCTCATTGATAGTGTACTGGGCGGTGGGGTATTGCATCGGAATCACGTCGGGCCACTTCGTGTAGAAATCAACGAAAATCAAGTAAGACTGACCGTTGATTGGCCCTACGTAATCCAAGTGTACTCGCTGCCACGGCTTCTCCGACTCGGGCCAAAGTTGCCACGGAGACTTTGGAGGGGTCTTCGCCGCTTGCTGACAAGATTCACACCTTTGGCAAAACTGTTCGATTTCTGAATCCATTTGGGGCCAATACACAAAACTTCGTGCCAGCGCCTTCATTCGGCTGGTTCCCGGATGTCCTGAATGAAACTGCTGTAGAATTCGGCTCCGCAACTTTTTCGGTAACACTACTCAATCTCCAAACATCAGACAATTACCAACAACCGAAAGAGATCCGCGTCGATTGTAAAAGGGTTGTAGGTCAGCCGAAATTTTGATATTGGGCCAGCTGGATTGCACGAACTCTATCACTTTCGGTAAGAGTTCGTCTTTAGCCGTCTCCACACGAATTGTGTCCGACGTTACAGGCAACTCTCGTACACTGTCAAACAGAAGTTGCTGAACTTCTGACTCGAAATTAACAAATGCGACCACACATTCATCGTTCTCCTTCGTCTGGGAGCTGATAAGGCGAGCTAGATCGTCAGCTTGGCCAAGTTGTTGTGTTGAGCGGTACTGTATGCTGAAATCGTAACCTAGCAGTATGGTAGCCCATCTCTGTAACCGACTTGCAGTGAAAACAGGAACACCCTTCTTCGATCCGAATATCGACAATAAGGGCTTGTGATCCGTAATCAGTTTAAAATGTCTGCCGTATAACATCTTGTGGAACTGTTTCACTGCGAAAACGATCGCCAGCGCTTCCTTCTCAATCTGGCTGTAATTCTTCTCCGCCACCGTCAGGGACCGTGCTGCGGGGGCGATAGCCTTCTCAAACTGCGCTTGCTGCTGTTGTAACAGAGTCTGCAACAGTTCTTGCATTTGTGGAAAGGGGATTGCCATGTTTGTGTTCGACTTGTTGACTCTGCGTCGCCACTGTTGTAGTACTGTTTCCTTAACACGGAACCTGCTAGGCTACGACCGTCTAACTGTTCAGTCCCGCACCAGCCAACCAACGGGATACAGAAAAGTGGCAAGACTCGGTAACAGGGAGTATATTCTACACGACAGACCGCTCGTATTTATTAGGTGACGAAACGTACTATTTTTAGGAAGCCTAGCTATGCGACTGGCTCTCAGCCAA